CAGCGACTGCGATAAAATGGACACATGCTAAGAAGACAAGCTGAAGCCACTTTGGGTTTGAAGGTTCAAGGCGTGGCAAACGATCACGAATGGAGCTTCGAGCTGCTCGAGATTGGTGCGTGCGAACGTCATCTCTACTGACCAAAGGCATGGACAGAAGAAGAAGATAACGTCGTCGGACAATTGCAGCGAGAGCGTCAGTTGCACGGAATCAAAGAAGAAGAGGGGCATCATCAGGTCATTGAAGGTTAAAACTAACAGTGAAGGCCTAAATTTTGCTGTGGTTGATGCAAGGCTTTTTTCGTTCAGCTCGATATCTGTATTCCATTTACCCTCCCAAGAATGCTGAGTTATGGGCACAGACTGAGCCTAAGCAGAACTCGAGCCCGCACCTCACCGCAAGTGTGTTATACCTTACACCAACACCCTCTCGGCCTGACAGGTAGCATGCTGTAGCCTTACAGCACTCACAGAATCAAAAAAAAGCTCACGAATTCTCCCTCCTGTGCTCTGGCCGTGTATTAGCTTGCCCCAAAATGTTACGTTTTTTTAAATCTCGTGCCGAATCTTTGCGCACCTATTTCGGAGTCCGGTAATGTGGTCTATGAGAAGTATGTTAGGTGAGCATCCCACAGTTGCTTTACCGTCCCTCGCAGTGGCTGCTGTCACATCCGAAACGGTAGATGAAATTCATAATTTTTGTCACACTTCGCTATATGAATTTAAACAGAGTCACAACCTGGTTGAAGCTACACGCGGCATTTGCTCTGAGTTGGGACCTGATACTACCATCTATGATACGGCGTTATAGCCTGAACGCTTTCGCTTAAGTGACTTCTACTTGGGAGACAAACCTCTTCCAGAAAGGCCATCTGCTTCGGATTTGGGTCTACTGCGTCCCTTGATTGAAACTAATTGGTACGAATAATCTCGCTATCCTTTCACTTGGCTCTTCCAGAAGCACAAATGACAGAGGTCATCATTCCTTCAAAAAAGTATTGAGATTCGGTCAAAAGTTTTCTCATGGGTTGACCGATACTCAAGGGGAAGGGCATGTGGGTATAGCCTAAAACTTCTTTCCCGCTCCCACCATACGGAATGGTTGAACGACTGTGACTGGATAAGGGGTAGGTGTCCCTGGGTGAACCATTCCCGGGAGCGACAGTAGCTAGATCTTCTGGCAGAATCGATCGTGCAGTCCCATCGAAACAGTAGGAAGGTGGCACTGTGCTTGTGGTGAATCACTGATGGGGTTCACGGCAGGGAGTTTCTTCCTGTCAACGCTGTGGTAATCAGTCCTTCTGTCATTGACTGCGGACGGAGAATGAAAATTCCCATCATTTATTCCCTCAACCCGGTAATGCGCTCCTACTCCACCGCAGTTCAGAGTCACACATTTGAAAAATGACACTGCTCGAGATCCTCAAGCTTAGCTGGTGAATTCCACCACAGTCTTCGTGTAGCCCTGACTTACTAGGGAGGTCGTTCAGGTCCTGGTGAGTTTTTTTTTGTAGGGGTCCATGCAAGGGCCACACAGATGGGGTTCATTTTTGCTAAACGCTACTGAGAATGCCAAAAAAAGGTCGAAAATAATTCGAAATGAATGGGCGATTTGAATCACCTCATTCACCTCCATTCTAGCTGTAGCGTCGATAATGTGCAGTAGATAAGACGTTCTTTGAGCAGGCATGAAAAACAACGCGAAATAAGGTTAAATCGAAGTACTTTTCTTGATATGTGGTGAGCTACATTGGAGTTTCCCGGTTATCTGCGTTTGTGTCTTCACTAGGTCCTGCATGGACTTATTCTCAGTGGCGGATGGTGTGGTGGATAGCGCGACGGGCTCTCAGTCGATGAGTTTGTGGATTGGTTCCTCTTGAAGACAAACTTTTGCATTTTTCAGATCTCTACCTCTTTTTATTCCCGTGGGCCCGATAATGTGTCTAGCCCGAATACTTCTAAGGGCATATTCTATGCGGTAATGGTTCACAAAGTGGCCTAACTCAGCCATTGCGCTCGCGAAATACTATTGAAGAAACTCGCCCTGAAACTTTGGTTATAGTTATCCGATCCCCTGATCACGAATACGACACTTATTTTGAATATGGGCAATGCGTAGCCAATTTGGTGCAAAGGCTTTCTCGTCCTAACATCATTGTCAGCCTGCGCGGTGGGGCCTATCTAGCGCCCTACTGGCCCCAGATGGCCTCAGCGCCAATAATAATTGTCAGAACCTTCATCAAGATCATCAGCTGCCTTTACGTATAGAGTTACGCCGAAAAATTTTTTCCGGGCCTTTCGGGTTATGAAGACTGACCACGTCTTCAGTATGGCTATCAGTCCCCCACCCCCTCCCGAGAAGTCGTTACCCTCGTTAGTGGGGAGCTTTTCATTTGCTACTACGCAGACGCATAATTAACAACTACCAAATTAAAAAAAGAAGTGGTGCGCATACACTGCATATCATTCACAATTTTCGAGTGAAAAACAAGATCCTTCCTTCCGAGCAGGAAGTAACGAGTTCTCTGTTGAAAGCCTAGACGGTAAAAGTGGAGCAAGATTCAGGATGCTCGTTTAATTCTGGAGCTAACACTGGTGTTTTTTGAAAATTCACTGAAGTTAAGAGTGAGAAAAGTATGAAATTTTTAGCGGTTCGTTTTGCCAGAGCCCTTCACGGCGGATTCGCGTGCCACTGCCATGCGAATGGTCAGGTCCATTATCACTAGGAAAGTTCGAAAAAAATTTTTTGGCTCTATTTACCCTTTACTGCCCCAACAATCCAGAGTTGGGCCAGTTTCTGACCGACTTTGTTCTAGGTGGACAGATTTGGCTCAAATGTTGCCTCCTGGGGTATTTTGACCTCCTGAATAGGAATATGTCATTCGCTTAGCCCGAAGCCTCCTGGCGGCCGCGCCACAGGCTCCGGTAATCTGTGGTATTTTGGCGCTAGGACCTGTAGCGCGGGCGGCAGGAGGTTTCAGGCTGAGCGGATGTGATATTCGTGTTCAGGAGGTCGGACTACCCCTGAGAACAAGTTTTCAGCATTCTGCCGAGGCAGAAAAAAGTCGATCGAAAGCAGGCCTGTTTTCGGAAGATTGGGGCAGTAAAGGGTAAATAGTGCCATTTTTTTCGTTTCTCGTATACAGGGGTAATTAATGGTCCCGATCACGATTCGCTAAGGTAATCTGGGGCCAGCGTGGCGCTGAGTGGCCAGTGCAAGCGAGAAGGGATGCTGCATAAACCACTAAAGACACTTCAGTGTACCTCACTGTATGCTAAATAAGGCAGGCGCTACAAGTTACACTTTATTAAATTTTTATCGAACATTTTTACTACCATATTAAAGAGCACATTAAAGGCACAGTTCGCGACCGCAAGTTGCGGGAAACGGAACTCAAATAGGCACAAAAAAGTGCTAAGTATCTGATTAGCGGAGAAAAGCAGCAGTCAAAGCAGTCCGAAAGTTATAGAGAAAGATAAGATAGTGGCTACTAGCTAGTAGCTAGCAGCCGTGAGGGTCGCCATGGGCCTATAGGGGTGTGCATGGGCCTAATTAGCCAGCTTCATAGCGAGGTTCTTGCCGTTTTTCACATTTTGAAAGTAGCGCAAGCTCAAAAATCGCCTTCCGGATCGTCCGACACAACTGAGAGGTCATAGCCTTATTTTTTCGCGGAATGTGCCTTTAAACTAATTTTCGAATTCTTTCGCCCAACACTCCATCGCGACCTCCACTTCTATTTCCCTAACCACTTATATGGAAAATTTTGCCATTATGACTTTCAAGGCGCTATAAGTTACACTTTATTAGATTTTTATCGGACATTTTTACTACCATATTAAAGAGCACATTAAATACTATAATGATACTCCGCCACAGCCTTCTGGAGGAGCGCCATCGAGAGATTTGGTCGCGCGAAAGTGAGTGGGTACCGGAGTTGAGCGATCGTTGATTTCTCCGCCACTGTAGACCACCCTGTTGAGCTCCGCCCGGACCAGGTAATTGAGTGGGTTCAGGTCAGGGGGCATATTTCAATATTACATCTTCATCAGGTACGAAACGCCCTTCCATTCGAAGTAGGCGGGAGTTTTTCCAAAACCCTTCGATTCCATGTGGTGGCACCCAAACCTGTAGCAGCCCAAGGTCTCCAAGAAGGTACGGGCGACCCCATGTAGGGAGGATACCCTTCTCGAGTTACTTGATGTAACCGCCAGCGCTCACCTTTGGTCGGGGTCTACAAAGGAAATATTGGTCTTCCCATTCCAGGTACGGCCGGTCCACACCACCAACCCGCGCTTTGGTGAATGGGGTGAAGATGATGTCCTGGACCGTAGCGACGTTGCCGGAGCTGCTCGATGTTTGAGGTCTTGCAGATCAAGAGTACTGGTCTCTAGGTAGCTATCCATGGGTGATTCCATTTAAGAAGTTCCGCAGCTGATTGGAGACCACGTGAATTCCAAAGGCGTTCTCCAGTCAGGCCGCGACTGGAGATGACTTCATATTTGTACATGAAGGTCAATGGCGGCAGCCGGCTCCTGCTTATAGAGGAAGATCTTGGGTATCTTACGCCCTGGTACTCATATCCACTTCCTCTGTCTGGGCTGCGAAAACTTCGCTCATATGTGACTCGGCCGGAATGACTTTTTTTTGCCCCCCCCCCTGTGTGCAAAAAGGCCAACGATTGGGGAAAATATGCTTTGTTCAGAAGCTTTTCGCTCGCATATCGCGTGTCTCTCTTCGACTTTGCCAATAGAGCCTATGTCCCAGAAAACAGGGTATTCATTGTATAAACTGATTGTTCTTTCTTATCATAACATTATTTATTATATGTTTACTTGTTACCTGTTATCTATTGGCTATTTTTTTACTTATTTTTATTGATCTTTATTACCTTCCGTGCAGAATCTTCGTTCAGAAGTACACATAACTGTTTAGGTTCGGCGACATCTGTGTTCTCACTTCATTTTTCGGAATCGCCCCAACGACGGTATCCGTGTTCTCAATGATGGCTCTCAGCTGGGATAGGTGAATGACAGACCTCATGTTCACTTGCACAAGTTCCCTAGAGAAATGCATTTGTCTACTTATAGAGAATGTTGAGCAAAGCGTTATTAGGCTGAATCTAGTGTATCCCAGCACTTCTGACATCGAGACCTCCAGCACTTCGAACCATTCAGACAGAATTTTTCACGTGTCGAACCGCCGAGCTAAGCTGGTTGTCACTGCTCATTCTCATCCAAAGCCCGAGACGCTTCTCCAAATCGCCACAGAGAAGTTGTTAGCAGAGGTCTCGGATATGGATTGAGTGAATAGCCCTAGCCGGGTCAACTTTTCTTGATGGCAGCCATTGCGACTCGAGTGATGACATGTGAATTTTTAGCATGGTTGTGAATGAGGGTTACCTTACTCCGAATAATTTTGCGAGTTTCTAATGTTTGCAACTTGAAAGCTGAGTGTTTTGTTGGCACAAATGGGGTTCGACATTCTTATTCACCCTTTACTGCGGCATTAGTAATTCTTGACACCGAATATTACCCGGAATTTTGTGTTTAGGTCCTGGATCTTGAAAATTCCAGATGTCAAGCTGTGGTGCGGCCACTACGAAAACGTCCGCTATCACGTCGGCGGTCCCTCATCACAATTGCCATTATTTGGACTATATCTACTGCAACAGCGCTTCCCTTCGCATTCGCAGCGAAAGTGAGTTGACTTGAGAAATTTTATCTTTTACTGAGTTCTTCCTTTAATAGATTCGCCTGATAGGTTTACTTCCAGAAAAACCTCTTTGTCACATGTGTGGTCGACCATTAATAATTTTGATTTGTGTTGATCCAAAAAGCTTTAGGTGAGAGAACTGTACCTCTACAACATCGTGACTAGAGAGGCCTCGATCCGGCACGCTTGCGCAGCTCCAGCACATCCTGTGTGAGTATACCTTCACAAATACAATATGCAATGCAATACCCTCAGAAAGTTGGTCATAACGTTCGCCTTCTATCATGAACACTGCCTTTTCGGAGTCCTTGATGACACCCAAGAGAATAAAAAACTAATGAGTGGATGGACACACAACGACCTGACGACATGGGGAAGCATTTCCGTGCCAAGGAAAGGCTTTCGATGCATAATTTTGCGGAACTTTGGGCACTGTTCTTCTTCTGCTGCGCTATTTCTTGAAAAATGAGCTTCATCTTATCTTGGGTTTGAATTTTGACTGATGATAAAGTACTGACCGCCTCAACACGAAAATCTCAAGCATTTGGCGAGATAACTTACGGAGCCTCTGTTGCTTCCCAAGGGCAAAACAACTGTATAACGGAACCAGCTGGAAACTTATTCTCCGAGTCCGCTGGAGACCTATCTTCGGATCTCCGTCGGAGCAACTGCTAGGTTGTCCCAAAAGTTCGGACACTTTCAAACTTTTTTCGATATATATATAATATATATATATATATATATTATATATAATAATAAAATATATTATATTTATATTATATATATATTATATATATATTATATTATATATATGATATATTATATATTATATATATTATAAGTATGATATATAATATATATATATATATATATATATTATATATATATATTATATAATATTATATATATATATATTATAATATTATATATATATATAATATAATATATATATTTATATATAATATATAATATATATATATATATATATAATATATATTAGTATATATATATATATCACTGTACTCGACTTGTCCTCGTGTGTTACGCATCTCCGCAAGTCGACTTTGATCCATATCATCTGGTCTTGTGCGGGATCTTTTCTCACTGTTGGCCGAACATTTTCACCATTGGGTGGCCATCTCGTTTTAGGCCTTTCCAGCGTTCGTTTGCGATCCAAAGGGAATCCAATCAGTGAGCGGAAAGTCCATCTGTAATCTCTCAGACAGCGCCACATGGGCCGGCCATGCTCGTTTCGTTTTATAAAATTCCTGGACAATATCAACAAAGCCAGCTTCGCCTTCGAAGTTCCGTGTTCGAGATATGATCGCGCAATGATATGTGAAATTGTGCGTTCATTTGTCCGTTGCGTGACCGCGAATTTCTCTTCGTATGCTTTGGTGTTGACCAGCACTCAGCGGCCGTATAGTAGTGCGGGTACGACTGTGGAGTGAAAACAGTGACGCTTTTTATTTCCATCGCAAGGCTTTCGTCTAGCAGAGTCGTTGAGATTTTGTTGAAGCTATGTCATGCTGCTTTCTGCTGCCATAATTTCTCCTGCCCGGCCTCTGTGAAGCTGAGCTGGTATCCTAAGTAGACGTAATTTGCGACTTCTCTATTTTTTTTGCCTTCGACTGTAATCTCTCGTCATAGAGCTGAATTGGTTTCTCATGCCATTTCGTTTTGGAGAGGTTCATTCGAGTCCAATCTCCTTTGATTTATTCGAAGTTGAACCAGATTGTCCTGAAGCTCTCTTGCGTCTTGTGCAAAAATGACGCAATCGTCGCAAAAATGCGTGAGATTTTCGCCGTCGAATCTCGATGCCGCGCGCTCCAATTCAAACTTCCGAAGAGGGCTCCAGTGTTATTGCAAAGAGCTTCGGCAAATTGTGTCTCCTTGACGTACTCCCTTGGCAAATCTTTATATGACAGGGGTCGTTGAAGAGCTTGATCTCTGTATTTGCAGCGTCGTTCATCTCTTCTAGGAAGGATGACGTAGTTTGTATTGCTCCAAATCTGTTCAACGCATTGAATACTGCGTTCGCTTCAACGAATGAGGCTTTCTTGATAATCGACAAACGCCAAGCATAGGGGAATCTGGAATTCTCCACATTTTTTCGTAAGTGGACGTACAACATGTAAATGGTCGATCGTGAATAACCGCTCCGAAGCCGGCTGTTCTCTCTTACTCGTACCATGGTCTAAGTCCTTGACGATACGGTTCAAGATTATTCTCGTGAAGGCTTTGGATATTTGTGACAAAGCGTGATGGGCCTGGTATATGTTCAGAACTCTCAGGACTCCTTTTTTCATCAGCAGTATCGTCTTCGATTTTTCCACGCCGCTGGAACTTTTCTTTCAATGAAATATCTGTTGAAACGTTCTGCCAGCGCTTTGATAAGGTTTATGCCGCCTGCTTTTAGGTGCTCAGTTCGAATGTTGTCACTTCCTGGATTTTTCCAGACTTCATTCGCTTCACTGCATGCTCGACTTCTTCACACGACTTCTGGAGACCGGTTCTCTGACAGCAGTTGAGTGGACTTTTGTGACAAAACAGCCCTTTTGAGGAGTAACAAATCGTTAAAAAATCGTGCAGGTATTTCATTCATCGCTTCTGATTTGTCGTGCGAAACCACTAGATTATCTTGAGAGGGCGGAGGGATATTTGCTGCCTGAGACGGACATTCCTTTCCACTGTTTTCAGGCTTGCCCCCTTTTCTGCCGGCTTACGAAAGCTTCTTTTGCCTATAATCCTTCATAAGTCTTCTTTTTTCCTCTCCCTTATCGTTTTGCTGAGAGTCTTATAATTTCTCGCTCTGGAACCCTTCCTTCGTTTCGTGCCTCTATAGTGCTCTCTTTGCATCATCTGGATTGCTTCGCTGAACACGTTGTCTTCTGCCGCGTTCTGCTGCAGTGCTGGAAGTTTGAACAGCAAGAACTATTTTTTCTACTAGTTCGTCATAGTCGCGTCGATGCTTCTCTCAGTGTCCATGCCGCAGGTCTGTAAATGCTACTAATTCAGTGAATTAAATCGGCATGTGAAAGCGTAGGTATTGAGTGCTACTTTGGGATTACAGAACTCGTTTCTCTCTTCTTCGATCTATAAGTATCGTCGAGCGCACTAGACGATTGGTCGGAGCCAGTCCGGACCGACACTTTCACCTATAACCGAAACGTCAGCAAACATTCTCGGCGTATCTGTCATTACAGAGTCGATTTGACTCAGAATCATTCGTATCTGGTGGCTTTCCACGTCCCAGACGCTTTGGTTTTCTCTCGAAAAGTGTTCTTAGATTGAGAAATGGTGTTGTTCCGCGAATTTCGACCAGGCGTCTTCCTTCTGTTCATTTCCGTACGCCTCGTGCGCGTATTGCCGTGTACAAGGTTTTCCATACGCCATCCTTGCGCGCAAGCAATTACATTGAAGTCTGCCTTGACAAATGGTTGATATGTCGATTTGATCTTCAAACGCGCGTCTATTTTCCTCAATAGCAACGTTCGACTTTTCATCTTCCGCTGCCGATGTAGGTGCATAACACCTGGCATGTTTGAGCGATGTCGTTATCCCCATCCGCTAGTATCATGATATTCAAAACAGCACACGTGGGGCAATAAATAATACGCAGGAAATGATGTGGCGGAACCATCTTCGGTTTATACGATGAAACGACTCCACCAGATTCTTGACACGTGTTGATCGGAACTGTTTTACGCCAAAGAACTTCTTCCAACTCGTCCTTTGGCCGAGGACTGTCTTTACGCATCTCCTTAGTCTCACAGACAAGACACCGACGAATATAGCTTTGATCTTTTCGCGGTGCATCTCTTAGTCCTATAGCTGCTGTTATTTTGCTCGATTGTTTCGATTGTTCTTATTGCGATATATTCGCAGCTAACCGCCAGCATGGACGCCTTACTCGATCACAACACTGAGGACGCGCCCGAGTGGCTCTTAGAGCATAAGCAATCACACACTAAACTATATATATATATTATATATATATAATATATATATATTATATATATATATATTTATATATAATATATTATTATATTATATATATTATATATTATATATATATATTATTTATATTATAGTATATATATATAATATATATAATAATGATATAATTAAATATATATATATATTAAATTATTATTATATATATATATATATATTAGTTTATAATATTAAATTAATATATATATATATGTCACTATCATTGGCGACCTGTTTGCAAATATAGTAACGCAATGTGTAGGTTTGCCCGGCTTCCAGAAGCCTCTTTGTTTGTGGTTGCCCTGCTTCCAGAAGCCTCTTAGTTCTGTGCCCAGAAAGGCAGCTGGGTCATTTTTGAGGTACTATCAAAAATCGAATTTTTTTACCAAGAAGATGGCCGCTGTGGGATTAGTTTAGATGACGATCGGAAAGAGTTAAGTCAGGGCTACACGAATAGTGTAGTGGAATTCCGCAGCTAAGCTTCGGGATCTCGAGCAGTGTCGTTTCCAAAAGTGTGACCCTGAGCTGTGGTGGAGTAGGCAAACATTGCTCGGTTTTGGGACCAAATGGTAGAGATTTTCCACCCCTCTTTGCAGTTGATTACAATAGGCTCCCTGGTTCCCATAGCGTTGGAAGGAAGGTTCCGTTTCGAGAGCGGAAGTTACCCCACCACATACACAGCCTCGCAGCCCTACTGGATTGATAGGATTGCACGATCGGTTCTGCCCTTTCTGGGGGATCTAGCCGCTGGCGCTCCCAGGAGTGATTCACCTAGAGGCACCCGAACTTCAGAACTTTTCTGAGGGAGCGAGGCCCTTCTCATCTGTGCTTTGGGACCAGTCAAGTATAAGGTCTAGATAGCAAGTTGATTTGTACGTATTGGTTTTAAATCAAGGAACGCAGTAGCTCCAAATGCAAGACAGGTGGCCTCCTTGGACGAAGTGTTTCAACCGGATAGAAGTCACTAAAGCAGAAGCAATTGAGCCATTCCATGGCCGTACTGCGGAAGCTAACATCGCTTGATAGAGATTCATATAGCGGAGTGTGTCGGAAATAATGAATTTCAATCACCGTTTTTCATATAAGAACAGCGACTGCGAGGGACGATGAAGAAGCTTTGGAATGCTTAGCTCACACACTTCCCATAGACCACATAACTGGACCTCGAAATGGCTGCGGAAAAATCTGATACGAGATTCAAAAAGTGTCCACGAACTT